AATCACAACAAGATCACACATTAGGGTTTGGTTTTTCTCCGTATCTTTAGCTTTACTCTAGGAGGAATCACCAAGCACCTTGACATGTATTTTATGATCATCTATTTTTTGTATTGATTATCCTTTAACTAATACATACAATGAGTGGTTTCCCTAATTGTTGATGATGTAGGTGAAAGCACAATACATGCCATCAAGATTGATCTGTGGATTCATGAGTTCATTTCCGTGCCTTCCTCTACAAAGCTTCATTGAGATTCAAGTCTCATCATTTAAGATGTTTGGAAGTAATATCATGACAAATATTTTGTGATTCAGCATGCCTCAAGTTGTCAAAATTAGTTCAAAAGTACAAGGGTTGATTGAAGAAGTTTGACTGAATTGGACAAGTATTTGATTCTAATGATTACAAGTGCATATCTCCATCAATGTTCAAGATTTGGAAGTGGTTTTGGTTTCTATGGGTTCTCCTTATCATACTCAATAACTCATAATCACATAACAAAGGTACTTGTGCAAAAAGGTTGGTCAAAATTACAATGGTTTCCCAAAGCATTTTCTTGCTCTAGGAGTTAGGGTTTTGAACTTCAAAGGGGGTATATCTTGATCATCTTTTGGTATTTTTGAATGATTCCAAAGACATCATTCTCTTGAAAGGGATATTAACAAATCACTTCAAAAGTTTCAAATAAATATTGTGTGGAAGAAACTTGATGGTGAAGAAAGATTACAAGTCCTTCAGATAAACCCTCAAATTCCCTTTATGTGACTTCAAATGATCATAATTTGATCAATTTTTATCACCTTGAGCCCATTATTTTTCCATAATGATCTTGATGATGTGAACTTTAACCCTTATTTTATGTGCAAAGTGTTAAAATGGATGGAAGATGCCCTAAGGATGCAAAAGAGTATAGGTCATTTCATGAATTTTTGCCAACTTCAACATCTCCTAACTTTCTCAATTTTTGGAGATTTTGAATGGTTCAAGTTTAAAAATATCATTCAAGAGATCTAATTCATGCCATCTTTTTTTGTCAAGAGCTAATTTCAAGTGGAAGACCATGTTTGGATGCAAGAAATTACAAGTCATTTTTGAAGAGAAACTTAGAAATTTTCTAAGTATGGAAAGTCAACCTCTTTTTCTCAACATTGACTCATTACAATTTTCAGCTCAAACATCCATTTGATCCCATTCTTTTCACATTGTAAAGTTTGTAATATCATCTTTCTAATACAACAAGAATCAAGTCTTGAGATTCCCTGAATCATGGTAGACGTTTCCATCAAATCTTCTGCAGAACCTAAGGAGGAAGAATCGAAATCACTCAAAGAGGTGAAGGTACAACCATAAATAAGGCCCTAAGGCATGCCCTTAGCCTCCCACGTGCATTGCTTCCACAACTCCCTCCTCTCTTCAGCATTTTTAGGTTTCACAATATTTCCCTCATCATCGCACTATCTTATGGTAGCTATTATCTAAAGATAAAAACAAAGAAAAAAGCAAAAGTAAGGCGAAAAAAGAAAGGGAAAAATACGTACAATGGATGAACACCTGGGAAATGTATACGCTTTCTCTGGAATGTAACGTTTTCAAATGCTGAGATGAAGAAGGAAAGATGGAAATATGGTTTTAATAGGGCCCAATGAACAATGCATTAGGGAAAGAAATGTCACCCAATGAATGAAGACTTAAGTAAAAGTCATCATTTCACTATGAGATAGAAGATGCATGAACCTTCATTCTGTGACACGTATGCAAGGTTAAAGTCTGGTTACAACCCAGTTTGAGCTCAATACTTTTCGTGCCTTTTATGACCGAACATTGAATCCTTGTAGAAAGAATTTGAAATCAAAGGGCTTAGGTACATCCTGAAAATATTAATCCCGATCGGGTAAGGAAGTCATCTGAAAAGAGAACAAGACTGGTGACCAACCCAAATAATGAGGGGTACCCGAAAGGAGGTGCAACTCAGCTAAAGGTGTGAAACGACCATCATTATCTCCAGGTAGTAACCCATATGCGCCACCAACCCGGATGACACACGTCATCGAAATCCACCTACCCATAGCCGACTAGCAAACTGGCTCATTAATGACTATAGCAGTCGCTGACGCATTAAACCCAAAATTACATAGCTTTTAACACCTTCATTCATGGTGACAGAATTTGTTACACAATTACAAAGCCCAAGGGTCACACCTTGGTTGAGACTCTTAATTACGCTAGAGGAGGACTACATAATGAAGGGTGAGAAAATTGGATTTCCTAATAAGCTTATACTTTGAAAATTACTTGTCAAACTAACAAGAAAGAATATAACTAAAGAAAGACTTATAAATGACTCTTTAGTTTATCCAGATTCACTTCAACACGGTTACTCTTGTCCACCTTCCTCAGATGATTTTGACTTCAGCACGGACTTAATCCACTAATCTCAACAGATTACAAATGCACGGGCTACCTGCCACTGACTAACCACAACCGTCTAAGAGTCCAAACTAACACCTCAGCCCTCTCAAGCCTCAAACTAACAACCTAGTCACTTGAGGTAATAATCAATTCTCAAAAGAATTACAATCAACTATGTTTACAATGTTTTCTTCTAAAAAGCATATTAACACAGCAATGAAGAACAAAGTCTCTAATATAAAAAATGAGTAACAACTCTTCGTATTGAGAACACTAATATTAACACACAAATAATGAGCAAGAACTCTTTGTGTTTAATCTCTAATATCTTAACACAATAACGAGCAGTAGCTCTTGTGTTCTTGATATTTCTCTAGAAAAATATTTATGGATGTATATGAATAGTGATTCTTCTTTTCTCTTTATATTTCACAGTATTTCATCCATTTAATTAGAGCTTGAAAATAGTTGATAGTTCTCAATCTTCAAATGCTGATGAGGTCTCTTTATATAGATTTGAGAATAAGACCGTTGCTAATACGGAGATGTCACTTTCATATTCCAGCTACAGTAACAGTAGTATTCCATCGTGGGAGACAACATAATACAATATGTAAGCATGTAATGGAATATTTTAAACATATTGAATGTACTGTAAACTTCGTGGCTAAGTTTCTTAAGACTTTATCTTCTGATGATTTACTTCTAACTTGAAGTAGTAAGCTTTGAGGATATATCTTGATCTTGTCTTTGTCTTCTCTTCTTCTTGCATGATTGATTATAATATGATGAAAGTGATCCAAGAAGATGCTTTGTTGTTGTATAGTTAGAATCTTTCAAATAAATTAATATTGTCTTCAGATTTATAAGCAACAACTTATCTGATGAACAATGTCTTCTTTGTGAGTAAAAGCTTTTCTGATTTTGACTTCTTGAATTGATACTTGATTCTTGACAATCATCTTTTTTGAGCTACATATTTGATGTCTGATTTCTAAAGCAACAACTTATATCAGTAAATATGATTGTGACATTGAATTCCTTTTTTCTCATCTCTTGAAATCTGATCTTTCGATTGAACTGAAAGCAACAACTTACGTTAGCTACATCTTGTTGTCTAACCATGATCTATTTTATTTCTTTGGAAGTGTATATGTTTTCTAATCCGAGAGCGACGCTTTCCTTAAAACATACTTGATTCCCTTTCTGATGAACATTCATCATTCCTTAGAACTGCTAATGTTTCTATAGAAATGGTCTTGATAGTTCTATTGAGTAGATTTTCTTGAGATGAAATCATCCTTTGATCTTGTCTTCTGATGGACTTTGTGATGTTGATTAGAAATGAGTTCAGAAGATCTTATTTTATTTGATTCTTTCTTCTGATGGAATATTTTTGATGTTGAATGAATGTGCGTATTCCATGAACTCTCCAAGTCTTTAGATTATTGACTATGTCTTCAGAAACATGAGCAGTAACTTGTATAATGAACAAATCTTTACTTCTGATCTTGGAGTAGAAGCTTTCTCTTTATGTGTTCAGAATATTGACTTCGTCTTTAGAATTGTAAGCAACAACTCTTCTAATGAACTAGTCTTGACTTTTGATCTTCTGCGTTGGAAGCTTGTTTCTTGTATCCTCTTGATATCTGATCTTGAAGCAACAACTTATCATAAATTGTTTCTTCTTGGACACTCATTAAGGTTCTTTTCTTGACAAACATTCAACATTCAATAGAACTACTGATGTTACATTAGAAACAAAAATCAATGGTTCTTCTTCTGAGTGATAAAGTGATTCTGATGATATCTTGATTAAGACTATCCAGAATTCGAATAACGTATCTACACACTCAATAAACTATTAGTTCAAAAATTATTTCTCATAAAAATATATGTTTGTTATCATCAAAACTCAGATTAAACACATCAAAATCTTGTTCTTACATATAAAGGGCTCCCACCAGAGGGATAAGCAAAACATTCATTCTTGGGACAATACGCATCAATGTCGTAGCTCCCAAATCGCTAAATACTCTATCGAAATCTATCCTTTGCGGCTCTCCCTCTTGGGAAAATTAAGATATATTCACTTAAAAACTAACACACGAGTTTTTTAAGGAATTTATTTTAACCTTTTGATTAGTAATAATAAATGAGTAAGATTTAGCGTCAAAATCAGCATAGTTAAAAATAACAAATCAGATTAAGTGCAGTAAAATGTTTCTCGCATTCAGGCATTCAGCATATTTCTAGTTGTTGGATTAAGTTTAAACCGTTCATATTTAAATATAATTTTTAGTTTGTTTTAAAATATAAATATTAAGTTTAAATTTTAACTATTTGATCTTCATCTAATGGCCGAGAATATGTCAATTTGTGAATGCGGAAAAGTGTGATCATATAGAAACATGATCCTAAAAATAGAACAGAACAATAACAATGCTACTGCTACAAGTGTTTATGATTATCATTAACCAAACAACCATTATTCCAAAGTTATCTTATTTTCTTGCCTAGGATTGAAAGTTAATTGAACATTAAAAATAGAACAAAACAAAAACTTAAAATAAAATCCTTCATTAGTTCAAAGTTCAATGTTTCTTGCAGCATTACTATAACGGTTTCTTCTGACATTACTTTGACGCTTCCAGCAAACCAATCCAAAGAAACCTAACAACGCTGCTCCCAATAGTGTTCCTATGACTATCCCAGCCTTTTGACCGCCGCTAAGACCAGATGGACCTCCTCGACCAGCCGCAGGAGGTTCCGGTTCTGGTGCATTCTTAGAAGGAGAAGGCGAATGAGAAGCAGGACTCGGAACAGGCGTTTCTATAGGCGACGTAATAGGTGATTTAGGAATGAGAACAGGCGCTGGTGCGGGCGAAGTTGGAGGCAAAATTGGAGCCGGAGTAGGGGCCGGTGAAGGCGAATTCGGAGATGGAGCTGGGACAGGTTGAGCATCAAAAGAGTGTAATAAAGTTGTAAATATAACAGATAATAGTAAAAGATTTGAGAAACCACTTCTCATTGTTCTTAGCATTTTGTTCTTTAAACCAAATATAATATGTGTGACAGTTGATAAAATTTGAGTATACTTAAAGGGGAGTATTATCAAATGAAGAACAATATGATTACAATAATTATAGTAAAGAGCTGTACAACCCTTTCCTTTGGATATAACGATCAAATTGAAATCATAGTATTTTACGTACGTGTCTTTATGTTATAGGTGTGAAAAACAAGAATGTATGCAAAGTCCAGTTGTGTAAAACCGTTAAGAATATAGAGTACATCAAGCCGGTAGAACTTAGGTTTATTCTCAAAACCATTCCATTATTCTATTTGTGTTAGAAGTTTGAGTTTGATTTAATTCAGGCACAGAAAATTATAAACTAAAAAACTGACGCTATGGCAGGTTTTGTGTCGGTGTTGGGACATGCTAAATGGCTTGAAGTTAATAGGTTAGCGTCTGGAAAAAAAAGTTGTGTCTACTGTGATATCGAGCTTAGTCTAGTCCACGTCGAAGTAAACTTGAGGCCAACCCTAAAAAACAAATTTCAAAAATTCACTAAAATTAAATAGCATCGTCATAGTCAAGGCTAAAGTCAACTTTGAAAAATCATAAAAATCTATTAGCTCTGACTAAACTGAGGTTAAAGTCAAACTCTAAATGTCAACAAAATATCGTAGTGTTGGTTTTGCCGAGACTAAAGTCAATGTTGAAAAGTCAATAAAATATGTTAGTTTCGACTAAACTGGGGTTAAAGTCAAACTCCAATAGTCAACAAAATATATTAGGTTCGGCCTTGTCGACGCTAAAGTCAACTTTGAAAAGTCAGTAAAATCTAGACAAAATACCCTTTTCAGTCCATGAATTTTACCTCAGAGTCCATTTTAGTCCCTTAACTCTTAAAAGGATCAATGTAGTCACTTATGTCTTCAAACGACGTTATTTAAGTTATTTCCATCTAATTCTCACAAACAATGTTTATTTTTGCCCACGTGCCTTTTGATGTGGCATATGTTAATCACCAAGGTCACTAAAATTCCAAAAAAAAAAAAAAGTCTCAAAACTCAGCCTTCAACAAGAACCGAACCATGATGTAGCTCAGTGGTAAATATCATTTTCAAGCAACCATTGTGACCATAGTTTGAATCCTGCTAAAGGCAAAATTTCGAGACTTTTTTTTGGAATTTTGGTGACCTTGGTGATTAAGATATGTCACAACAAATTCCACACATATGAACATATGACAAGTCAGAAGCCACGCACACAAAAATAAATGTTGTTTGTGAAAATTAGACGAAAATGACCTTAATGACGTCGTTTGAAGAAATAAGGGACTATATTTATTCTTGTAAAAGTTATTAGACTAAATTAGGCTTCAAGTTAAAGTTAAGGGACTAAAAATTGTATTTGACCTGAAATCTATTAACTTCGGCTACACCGAGGCTAAAGTCAAACTCCAATAGTTAACAAAATATAGTCTCATCTTGGTCGACGTTAAAGTCAACTTTAAAAATTCAACAAATTTGAAAAGGTAACAAATAGTCAACAAAAGAAACTCACTAGCTTCTCACTTTAGCCATCAACATCTTTGGCAACACACAACCACAAAACCCCCTACCAAAAACATAACTTGTTTTGCTTGCAACCAAACAGTCACATATGACTGATAAGGGGTAAATGTGTTGTTTTTCTTACTTGTTTTATTTCCATGTTCATGGGTGTTAACATCAGTTTTAGTTTATTTTTACGTGTTTTTGTCTCCTATGTTTGTTTTAGGTAATAAGACGTCAATAGAGAGAATTGGGACGAAAAGGCTGAAGATCGCACAAAAAGGAGCTTTTCCAGTTCAAAATTTCTGAGACCAACACGACTTAGCCGTGTCCCATGACACATGTCATGTTGGCCCTATTCAATCACGCCCATACAAGAAACCAGAGGCTTATACGGCCAACCCATTTTCCCTGACACGGCCCATGCCACCCCTCAGGCAGTTACAAAAGTTTTGATCTTTGGATGGCTTTTGTGACCTTTTGACATTTGTAACCTCAATTTCTTTTATGATTAGTGATAAATGGAAATTAATCTTGAAATTATTGAATATAATGCGAAACTTAAGGCTTGCATTAGTGTAAAGAAAGGCCTAAGGATCCATCACTTGCATCATCTTTTACTATTATTACTCCAAACAATTGTTGTTGCTCTTAGGTCTTAGTTTAAGTTGTTATTATTTTCTTGTAATTTTTTCACTTGTGATAGTATAATATTTCCTTTATTTATTTTCAATTATTTACTTTTCTTGTTTTGTTCTAAAACTTGTTTATTATTGTTGTTCATTTCACCATTAGTGAGTAAATCCTTAAGGGCATGGGGATATGAGAGTCAGTCTCATGAAAAACCCATGTTGAGTCGTCCTTTTGTAATCATGAGAAACATATTAAAGGTGTGAGAAACACAAGTCGTGAGTAAAACTTTTCCATCAAAGGTTTTGCATGATGTTAAAACGAGAAAAGCGAGCACTTGAGTATATTAGACAATATCCTTTTTGTCTTGTGGCACCCCTCAACATTAGAGGTCTTAGGAATTATTAAGCATTTTGAAATTGATCCAACTCATTAAAAACAAGTTTTTTCCTAAATTTCTACTGCATCTGTCGACACATCTATTTTCCAGGTCGACACATACGACTCATTTTTAAAGCATGTAGCTTCTGTAAGTTTCAGGTCGACACATACATTGGATAGGTCGACACATACTGAAGCTTTTCTGGAATTTCAAAAATTCTTATTTTATGTGTCGACACATCCGTTTTTCAGGTCGACACATTTACTAGCGTTTTAAAGTCTGTAGCCTCTATTTCTCTTTGGTCGACACATAGACCTATACAAGTCGACACATACATCATAAAAATCAAGTATGTGTTGATCCAAACGATATACAAGTCGACACATACTATTTAGTTGGTCAATTTTTTCAAATCTTTTTAATTCTGAATTTATCCATTTTCCCTAAAAGTTCCAAAACTATAAATACTCAATCATTCATCATTCATAACTTGGTGAAATCATAAAATTAGCATATTTCTCTCTTTATCTTCAACCTCCCATCTATGCATACACACTGACACTATATTATAGCGATGTTCCATTGGGGTTCCATCTAGATGAGGATTGTTAGTGTACAATTATGTACTGGGTTGAGTTTTGTAGGGGTTTCCATCCAGGAAAAACATCGGGTTTGTCCTCCAAGATCATTGGTTTATTTGGGAGTATTTTTGTGCCAGACGTTTGAAAGGTAATTGCGGTCAAGTGAAGTCCTTTGGAGATAAAGAATGCAAGGGATCCTTTGGAGATAAATAACGTAAATTAAGTTACGCGAGAACGGAGGATTACCATTGAAGTCTTGTGTTGTAATATTTTGAAATTGATGGTGCGTGAAAGATTTGGAAATAAATAACCCAAAGGAGTGGAAATATCCTGCTTGTGAGTACAAACTTCGTCACCAAACATTTTGAATGATGTCAAAACTGGTAAAAGCATGCACTTCGGAATATTGGACGGTATCATTATGTCTTGTGGCACTCCTCTGCATTAGAGGTCTAAGGAATCATTAGAAAGCATGTTGAAATTGATTCAAGCCATTAGAAATAAGTTTTTGCATGATTTTTAACTGCATGTGTCGACACAACCGTGTTTCAGGTCGATACATGCAACTCAATATTAAATCTTATAGCTTATGTAAGTCTTAGGGAGATACATGCATATTTCATGTCGACACATACCAAAGTTTTTCTGAAATTGCAGAAATTCTTATTTTATGTGTCGACATTTACATTTTTTAGGTCGACAAATTTTCTATCATTTTAAAGCTTGTAGCTTCTGTAACTTTTTGGTCGACACATGGGTCTTTATAGATCGACACATTCTGTTTAAAAACCATGTATGTGTCGACACATACGATTCTTAGGTTGACACATACTGTTTTAGTGGGTCAATTTTTTAATTTCTTTTATTATGAATTTATCCCTCTTTGCCCTAAAAATTCCTAAACTATAAATACTCTTTCATGCATCATTTCAACTTGTTGAAAACCATAAAAAAGTATCCTATTTCTCCCATCATCTTCAACCTCCAATCCATGCATACACACTGACATTAAATTGTAGCGATGTTTCGTTGGAGTGCCATCTAGACGAGGATTGCTAGTGTCCAATTGTGTTTTAGGCTAAGTTTTGTAGGGTTTTCATCCAAGCAAAAATATCGGCTTTGTCCTCTAAGATCATTGGTTGATTTGGGGTTTTCGCGCAAGATCGGTCGAGATGGAATCATCCATGTGAATCACCTTGGAGTGTTTGAAATCTTCGCAAGGAACCTTGGAGTGTTTGAAATCATTTCAAGGAAGTACCAAGTATTGTAAGATAAAATAAAAGGTCTTGTGTTTGATAGAGTGTAACCGGATTTACTCGAATGAAATCCCTTGAAGTGTTTGAAATCTTTGCAAGGAAGTAGCATAATCGGCGAATAGGTTGCATCTATCGGTTCTTGGTCTTGCTCAAGATCAAAAGAGGAGAAGGGGTTCAATCAACAATAAGATTAAGGTTTATGGTGTTTCTATTTAACACTTCTTTTGTATCAACAATTTTGCATAGTAAGAACTATCCTAATTCCATTGGAATTAGGACCAAACGTACCCACACGCGAGGACGACCGTGGGGAATTGTGAAGACAAATTCCTTTAGGTCTCTTTTATTTTTGCTTTTACTTGCTTTGATTTTAATTGATCAATTTATCGAATAACATTGCGTTATCAATTGAATTGTAAGAATTTTCCTAATCTGTTTTAGATTTTAAATCTAGTGTTGATATAGCTTATAATCAATTTTGATTATAAGTGGTTTTGTGTATCAACACAATCAAAGGAAAAATTCTGAAAACTCACTTGCACACCAAGTGTTTGATAAATTGATTCCACTAGTTCTTTTTAATATTGACATTGGAAATAGCCTTGCAAGTAACTTTCATTGAACGATTAAC